GCTGTTTCTATGCATAACCTCGACAAGCTGCGCAAGCTTGAGGCCAACCTAAAAACAGCTCGTGGCTTCTGTGAGATCATCGATGTGCTCTCTGCTGCTCGTAAGCTGGTCGTTGGCCACAACATGCCTCTTGACATTCTGCATGCTCATTCAAAGTTTTACAAAGAGCTGCCAGAGCTGCGCGCGGATTTCGAGCAGTCGATGCAGCGGTTTCTGCCAATGCTTATCGACACCAAATACATAATCGAGTCGACGCCTGCCATAAAGGCGAAATACGGGACATCCAATCTGGACGAGATCGCGCCCAAGCTCGACAATGAGGCGAAATATCACTCTCTAGACCCCATCGCACATCGCCCCCAGCTGGTCCGCCATCATCCAGATTTTGCGCTGAATGCCACGCAAAGCATGCACGAAGCTGGCTACGACGCCTATATGACCGGCGCCACTTTTATCCGTCTGCTCAAGCTTGAAGGCGGTCTAGACTTGTATGCATTATCATCTCCATCCGAGAATACCAGCGAGCTGGTGCTGTATCGCTATATCAACAAGCTTTACCAAGCAGTTGGTGACCGGCTTTACTGGCAGCTGGGCGGACCGGATACCTCGCGACTGTCACCAGCCAGATCCGCTGGAGCCGCCACCTCCGAAGGGGAAACTGACTCTTCTGTCGAAAACAGTAATGCCTACAGCTCATCCGATCGCGACAGCCCAGCTAAGCACAATGATCTTTTGAGCCTAAATCATATGGCGGAACAGTATTCCTTTATGAACATCAATGATTCGACAGCGTGAATCACAAAAGTGATGAATAAAAAAGTGCATGAATTAACAAAACTTTAACATCCAAACGATGATTAGACTCGAAGGCTTGGCCAATTAAATGGTCGGCTTGTGCCGCCGCATGTTTGCATGCTTGTGTGACCAGTGCGGAAAACGGGGCCAAAAAGAAAAAAATGCTTCCTGCTTATCGCCAAGGGGGAAAAAAGAAAGGCTTTGGGGCGGTTTCAGATGTTTTTTCTTTTTTCTTTCAGCTGTAGCAATACTTGTTTTATTCTTTTTTAAACCTAAATTTATTTTGATTTTCCATTTACATTTCCCAAAATGAGCAGCGCTACTCGCCAGGAACAAGAACTGCAGCAGCGCTTATTCGCGGACAAATGCCGCCGGCTCCACAGCCACCTGCTGAGCACAAAGACCTTGCTCAGAGAAATTGGCGACTACAACCGCACAAAGTGGCCTGTACACTATCCGCTCGCGCGTATTGCTCGCGCACATGAGTCACAGGCAAATTCTTACTCGAACGGCAGCTCAGGGCTACGGCGCTCGAACTCGATGCTCAATGCTTCGGACGCCACACTTGTCAACAGCCTTGCGCCAACGCCGGTGCGCCGTGCGATGACCGCCGAGGACATAACACAGCTTGCCACCGGTTCAGGCTCTAGCAGTCACACAGCTGGCGCCGATGCCGACATATCTTCAGCAGGACGTCTTCTAGACCCCAGCGACCTGAGTGTGCTCAAGCTGGACCTGCGTCTTTCGTATCACGCTGATTCCGATGTGATGGGGTCGCTGGAGGAGTCCAGCATTGCTCGTCTGTTTGACGAGCGCCTGTCGCAGTGCGAGGTCCATATCGACAAGCTGATTGCCCGCGTTGCAGACAAGTCGTCCAAGATTCTGGTTACCGGCGACCTGAACGCGGGAAAGAGCACGCTTGTCAATGCGCTTATTCGCCACGACATCCTGCCCTTTGACCAGCAACCATGCACAATGCTGTTCTGCGAGGTAGTCGACGCTTCCCAGAACGATGGCATAGAAGAGATACACGCTGTTCCCGACATCCATAGATACAACCGCTTGGACCCCCTGACATACACGGTGGTCAAAATGAGCGATCTTGAGGACGTTGTTATGGAGAACGACGAGCAGTACCAGCAGCTCAAGATCTACACAAAGGACAAGCGCAGCGACCAGCAGAGCCTTCTTCACAACGGCGTCGTCGATGTCGCCCTTATCGACTCTCCTGGTCTTAACCGCGACTCGCTCAAGACCACCCAGCTGTTTGCGCGCCAAGAAGAAATCGATGTGGTTGTTTTTGTCGTCAACGCAGAGAACCACTTTACCCTGTCTGGCCAGGACTTTTTGCTTAATGCGGGCAACGAGAAGGCGCATATATTTATTGTCGTCAACCGCTTTGATGCCATTCGCCGCAAAGACCGCTGTGAGCGCATGATTCTGGACCAGATCCGCGACCTTTCTCCGCTCACATATGCTGAGCGCGACGACCTAGTGCACTTTGTCAGCGCGCATGAGCAGCTTGCTGCTGAACGCACCGGCTCTGTGTCTTCTGAGTCTTTTTCGCGCATGGAGAAGTGTCTGCGCTCGTTCACTCTTGAGCAGCGGTTCAAGTCAAAGCTGGCCCCTGCGCAGCGTTATGCGATGAATGTGCTTTTCGATGTGCAGTATCTGGCTGCTGAGAACGTTGCCTCCGCGACCAAACGCATTCAGGAGATTAACGCACTGCTGCGCGAGGGCATGCCCAAGTACGAGACGTTGCTTCAAGAGCGCAAAGAGTCTACTCGTCAGGCAGAGGCTGTTCTTGATGACAGCTGCCTCGAGGTTCGTCGGCACACCACTGCTCACTTAACAAACACGAGTGTGCATCTTCAGGATGTGGCCGAGAAGGTTATGTATCCTGGGCTGATTTCTCTGTGGTCTTACGCCGAGAACGTGCTGCTGACCATGGTGCGTCACCTGGAACACGAAGTCTACGAGTGCGATCGCTTTACCTGCTTCACCATCCACCAGGCCCGCAACCAGCTCGGCAAGCTCGATGACCAGCGCAAGATGCTAGATACATCGCTTGATCAGCAGCAGCAGCAGCAGGATATGTCGGTGGCGACGCCTATTTCTCCCAGCAGCAAGGACGAGGGTATATCGCTTCTTGATGGCACCAACGCTGCCAGCGTCACAGCAAGCCAGCTCGCATCTGTTGGCAGTATCTCCAATGCACTGGACACTGTTCAGCTTGAGCTCTCAGATTTTGTCGACCTGGACCTTAGTCACAACTGGGGCACTCTTACGTCAATTTCTGCTTCGGCATCTTTGACCCTTCTTGCCAGCAAATCCATGGCTGGAAACGTGGTCACGCTTCTTCGTCTCTCTTCCACCATGGGCACAACTACTGCTCGTCGTCTGATGGTCGCCGCTGCTACCCTGATCGGCCTGGGCTCTGTGTTTTACATGGTTTCGGATATGGATGCAACGGTGCGCCGCAAGCTGTCATCGCGTGTGTCGCTGATGCTTGAGGAGGAAGGCTTTGTGCAGCACCATGCCGAGAGACTGACCACAGAGACCTCGCGTGCTATCCGCCCGTTTGTCTGGCATCTGCAGCACACATTCCAGCGCATGGTCGAGGCGGAAGAGCACAAGCGTGCTGACCACCTGCGCCGTCGCCATATCGCTCAAGACTCGCAGATCTACTTTGACGAGCTGCGTATCAAGGCCCAGGAGCTTGCCAATGCGGTCCGTTCTGTGGGCTCAACAGAGTCTGTTGGTTCGTGTTGAATTATGATCTTTAAATTTTAGTATTTCTCTTTATTCCTATTCCAAGTAATTTCTACGTATAAAATTTTTTTGTTCAAATGTTTAGAAAAAAAAATGTATGGCCCATACTGTTCATCGACAATCCTTGATCGGCATTGTATTGATAAAGTAGAATTGCCCCCACGATTGGTTTACTGGGTTTCTTCAACCGGCATTTTGCATCAAATGCAGAATGTCATTATCGAGTTGTGGCTTGCCCCCTGCAGCGATACGAAGAAACGTGAATTCGTTTCCGACTTTTGATTCCATTTGCCTTGGGAATGACCACATGCTTAGAAAGATCAATCAGACAACGGATATAATACTTGTGCATTTATCTCTATATTGAGGTGCAAGTTTCGCTCCCGTTGCACATCCTTTACTTTTTTCAATTTTACACAGACCTTTCAAATACTTTTTTTATTACGAGTTTCGCGCTTGATTCATTAAAAAGAATATCCAACCAAAACGTGGCAATGATGAATGACCAACTGTTTACTGCTTGCTGGATCCATTCTCATCTTCATCGTCGTCTGCTTCCTTTACAAGTTGAAGACTGTCATCATAGCCGTGCTTTTTAAGATCCTTCCATGTCTCCTCTTCGTCGCCAGCATTGGTCTGCAGACTATATAGCTGAAGAAATCCACCCTTGAGCAAAGCGCCATCTTTCTCTCTGCAGTCCAAGTTATCGCGGATCTCCTCCAGCTCTGCCTCTGAAAACTACAAAACAGAAAATTTAACAATGGCAGATGAGCAAAAAAAGAGTGTTTTTCCTGACAAAGTCTCCCAATAAGACAGCAACTCGGTTATTTGTATTAATTAATTGCTGTTTGCTTTTTTTAACTTGCCTCTTGACCGTTGGTATACTTGGCAAATGCTTGTATTTCCTCGTCGTTCAGTGCGCCATCGTTGTCTTTGTCGTAACGACTAAAAATCTCGACCAGTGCAGCCTCACACTCGGGAGTAAACTCCATATCATCTTGAATCAGATCCACAGGCATTTTCTATTAAAATCAGGTAGTATATATGTGTACTAGTTATAAAGCAACAGCTGAAGCAAAGATAGAAACAATGGTTAAAGATGTGAGACAAGCACATGGATAAAAGCAATCTGACCAGTATGCCATAGAATATTAAAGTCATGTTGGAGTAATGGGATATTATCATGTATACGATGTCTTGTGGCACACTATTTTTTAGCATACTATGATGATTAACAAGTGTGTAAATTAGATATAAAATTGTACTAAATTTAGTTTTGAAAGGTTCTAAGAAATATAAATGAAAAGAAAAAAACGCTAAAAACTATAATCCCCATCGATTTTGTGTATTTTTATAAACAAATAATTATACTCATAAACAGCAATAAAAATCAGTCTCCGAAATACGGTTACTAGCTTAATTAAGCTTTACATGCCGGACTGGCGCAATTGGTTAGCGCGATAGCCTTCTAAGCTATAGGTTGCGGGTTCGAGTCCCGCGTTCGGTTTCGGCAATTTTTTGCTATTCTAGATTTTAGAAACCTGGTTTTTCATGTTGCTTGAACAGGTTTATTTAGTACTCCTTGGATAGTCCAACGGTTTTATCTGTTCCAGCGTACTTGGGTCTTTTGTTTTTTGGAACTGCCCATCAAGAGATTTAGCACAGAAAACGTTCCAGATTCGGCCAAAAATAAAAGTCAGTATTTTTTTCAGGCGATCAAAGTGGCTTAGACCGTTGTCGCTGCTGCGCATTAGTAGCCAGACAGTTTTTTTTCGATACTCAGCTCCAACGCTGCGATCTAAGTATCAACCAGCACATGTACCTTTTTTTCTTTGGAACACAACTCATTGGTATTTTTACCACCTTTTATCCCTTTCCTCTCGATATCAACACAAGTGTTCTCTCTTGCACCTATTTCCTTTATATTGTAAACGCCCGTTGCAGCGACGTCGTTGCTTATTGTATATTGCTCGTCTCAGTAGATCTGAGCTGTTTTTATTCTATTCGCACCTTCTATTCTTCAATTCGTTGCATTCAGTTCACCTTTGTTTTTTATTATTGCACATATCTAGACACATAAGCGCAGCGTCAGATGTCTCCTGTATTCTCCCCGCGCAAGCATGCGCAGTATGCAAACAGCATCGTTGGTGCAAAGCACACCAATGCAGTTGTTGACTCGCAGCTTGAACAGCCAGCTGCACCGGCCATAGCGTTTATCATTCTAGCGCTGATAACCGCGAGTGCTCTGTCTGGCATCATGGTGAGCCTTGGCCCGCAGCACATGGAGCCCGTCTACGGAAATGTTCTCCCGCAGGTCAACTTTCTGCACGGGGTGCTTGTTTCCATGGCGATTGGCGGCTTGATGGCCCTGGGTTTCTGGCGTCGCATCCTCGCAGTGGCAACTGGACCCCCCCCATCTCTCTGATCGCCGATGTTAAGACTGGCCATGCACTTGCCACGGAATTCGACGCTACTGCTCTGCTTATGGCAGCTGCACCACTTTACTCGACTTATATCCTGAGCTGGTCGGGATACCTGGGTCCGATCTGGGGACCGGTCCTGACCCACTGTGTCCTGTCGTTCCCAGTATTCGCACTCCTTGGCTTCGTTTTTGCCATTGCAGCAGCATGCATATTCTGCGGCCGTGCATTGTTTCTGACCAAGGCGGCGTTGCTCCTTACCTGTGTTCTTTCGGTCATCATACGCGCTTATTTTGTTCTGCCGCAGCTGCCGTTCCAGCGCTCGTGCGCTGGTCTTCTTGGCATGACAGCGCTTGCCGGTAGCTGCTCACTGATAATCAAGATGCTTAACGTCTGTCAGCGGCATACTAGCCCTGCTTTCGCAGCACGCGCTTCAATGTCGCGGTTCTTGCTCACGATCCTAATTGTCTCGGTCGCCTTGGCATCGCTCTTTGGCGACAACCACTGCTTTGTTAATGGTGCCATTAAGACCACTGGGGATTACAATATTCTGTCTCGCGAGGAATCGGTCACTGGCTGGGTCATTGTATCAGACAATCACAAGCGCGACATTCGCCTTCTGCGTAGCGGTCATTCGATTGTTGGCGGTCAGTGGAAAACGACCAAGCAATCGATCTTTGGTGTGTTTTACTACGCCGACGCTGTGCGCATGATCCACGGTGCGTCTAGGACCGACGAGCGCGCTCTGCAGATTGGGCTGGGAGCCGGCATATCCGCACGCTCCCTTTACTCTCAGGGTGTGGCAGTTGACGTTATCGAAATCGACCCGGCAGTTCACCGCGCGGCCGAGCAATTTTTTGATCTGCCTCGCAATTTCAACGCTGTATATCTGCAGGATGCACGCAGGTTCATCGAGACAGCACCAGACACCAGATACAACTACATCGTACACGACGTGTTCACTGGAGGGTCGGTACCAGCATCCCTGTTCTCAAATGAGGCCATAGAACAGGTGTACCGCATTATGCTGCCATCCGGTGTAATGGCAATGAACTTTGTGGGTGTTCCAAGTGACGAGCGCGTAATGGCGCACATCGTCAGCACTCTTTGCACATCTTTCAAGCACGTCCGGCGCTTCGGTGAATTTGGCACAAATGGTCACCGCAGCAAGGGGAAGCTGATGAACTCGATGGTAAACATGATGTTTTTCGCATCCAACGAGCACATCGAGTTTAGAATCCCAAGACCCAGCCTGATGAAAGATGGCTATATATCAATCCGCGATACCATGCTTATGACCATGCTGGGCAACGAGATCGCGCTTGATCACCTCCCCTCGAACGCCAGGCCTCTGACAGATAGCTGGAATCTGCTGGCGCAGTGGCAGGTCAGCGCTGCTATTGACCATTGGCACGCCATGCGCAAGATGCTCCCTGGGGAGTATTGGCTGAATTACTAGAACTTTTCACTGTGTGCTATTCCATTTTTCATGTCGTTTTTCATAGACCTTTCACTGACTTCAACTTCAAAGCTTTGGCTGCGACAAATAAATGTATTTTTATATGAAACATAGCCTTGGAAATAGCTTGTTGTGAAAAGTCTCTCAGCTTGCGTTAGAACTAATAATATACAACATGTAAATTATTTTATAAATGGAATATGATAAAAGTATTATTTTCTGGAATCATAATCATCAACCAACTTAACATTGCTGAGCTGAGAGCAAATAGATATAATTGCAGCTTTATACGGGTTAGAGAGCTCCTGTGCTAGCTCTGACAAGTTCCTTCTTATAGCATAGACCCTTGAATAAGCAACCATGCCGATGTTTGCAAATTTAGGACATGCTACGACCAAATAGAACAGAACATTGGCTAGACACTTGTGAGATGTTATCACGTATGATCACAACCTCTAAACGGATCAACAGATTGTATTTCGGAGGCGCTGTTGCGCCTGGGTATTTAATGACGCTGCAGCTGTTATTCAATAAAGATGACACTTAGTTCTGTTTAGTTTTATTTTGAAATAACATTACAACTTGTGACTACAGTATATCTTGTTTAGTCAAATCTTGGAAAAGCATTGGTTCAATGGTGTAATGGCTTTTTTAAATAAAACACAAAGGAAATAAATACCCTCGTTGTTGAACAACACCTACAACAAACCGTCGATCCGTTTAGGGTGTTGATTTTGTAATAAGGTATTTCAAACAATAAAAAAAGAAAGGTAAGGTCCCATTTTTATTGTTCACCATACACCGTTACTTGTATATTATTTAGAAGACCCGCCCGCAAGAATCAAACCCCGGTTTTGCGGGTCAGATCACCTGATCTACCAATTAGTGAGTTATCTAACGCAGCGGAAACAGAGAGAAGGAAAGAAGACACCGTAGTCATATCTTTATAATATATTATATGATATCTTTACAAGCGGGAACGCGCTCTGAACCTGGGTCATAGTGTTTTCAAAACTAAGATCTTCGGGCTTCGGACAGTAAGCGAGCTGGTGCAGTAGTAGCGCTTTTTGAAGAACTTGCTCGATCTGTGAAAGAGTAAGCATGTTGGGTCCGAGATCTAACTTCCGTATTCTGGAAAGTACTGGGTTTTTCAATAGCATACGCAAAAATGAATTGCATTGCGCATCTTTCTGATAAATGAAATTGCGCAAGGAAGGTGATATGTCAAATAAGGCACTGACAAATTGGATCTCGTCAACATGGATATTGTCTTGTGACATATCGTATTGACAATATCTCTTATGATAGAGGACAAGAGTTCGAAGATTGTCCAAGCGGCATAACTCGAAAATTGTATATTTGTTGTCACTGTTTGAAGCTGCCATTTTTGCGCCGATGCTCACATACTCTAGTGATTTACCACCGTTAAAAAACGCTCTGCTGAGAAGTGTTGTACAGTCACCAATAACCAGCTTCTTGAGGATGGGAAAATGAACCACTTTGTAATCGACTGCTGGTGCGTTGTAGGTACCTTCCCACTCCAATGTTAACTCTTTTAGACAAGAGTATACGATCGGGCTTTTATCATCTCTCTGGAAAATAAAATTCATTCGCCCAGCCGGAATGTTCTTGATAGTTAGCTTGCAAAGTGTGCCTGCATTACGTTGAGCAACCTCTAACATCCAAGACTGGTTACTATTATAGGAACAATGAAATTGAACCAGTCCTGTAAAAATAGACGGATCGAGTTTTGTATAAGCAATATCATTTCTCTCGCACTGAATAAAAATGATATTCCGAACACCGTTGGTAAGTTTGGTGACCATTTCGCCCAAAAGCTTGGCGGTATCCTGGTTTGTATCTGATCTGTCACTGATAGCCCATCTGAAAATAAGTGCTATAATATTAGGAGTCATTTCCTTAACGCGTCGAGCAAGCCTATCCACAGATTCAATAAAGTAGAATACATCACCGGTATCCAAGTACCTTTCAGGCGAATGCCTGTTGAATCTGTAATCCCCCCTCTTTGTTCGTTCATTCCACTCCTCTTCTCTTTTGGAGTCCGATGATGGGTAGCCATTGTACTCGATATCCACATCAACAACAAGAGTGCGCGCAGAGGTAAACAACAGGTCTTTGTACTCTGGCGTCTGAAGCTCCGTATACGAATCTTTGATATCAAACGGTTTAAGCTTTGGCTGCATGACCTCCACGATAACGGTCTTGACCTGCTGAGGATACATATAAACCGGCGGGTGGAATTTTTTAAAGCAACCAGAATGAAGATCATTCGTAAACCTGGCCTTTCTTTTGCCAAAATATGCGGTAGCACAGGCATGTCTTATAAAGGATATGCGAAACGCACGGCAGCTGCGTAGAAAAGTCAGAGCAACTACATCTTTAGAGTACTTGTCGGCTGTATTCATCGCATATTCAACAATAGAGTCGATGATATGCATAGGCAAACCCTGTAGAGAATTTTGAGCAGACATGATCATATTGAAAATAAAGCAGAATAAAGACTAAACACTAATGTAGTAAAAAAGGACCGAAGAGGGAAAGAAAAAAGGATGAAACGAAAAGACAGATTTTAGACACAAACCGGAAATCTCATCATGAAGTGATATC